AAGCGCAGAAAATCGATACAAAGGATATATCGATATATAGAATAGAACAAAGAAGTATTAGCTTACTTGGTTGTTCTTCTTCCCAGATCGAGGATGACTGCCGGTTTACTGTTGTCGATACTGTTTATAGCTTGAGAGAGCGATGTACATGTTGCCAAAGCGGACAACGTACGACGACTTGATAGTGATGATGATGATCGAATGGCGGAGGTCATATGCAGCCTGAAAACGATAAGAGAATCGTCAAATAATTTTACGTGCAACGAAAACTGCAAATGAAGGATGGAATGTTCAAATAAACCGTGAGGGCGAGAATCGTGATTATGCAGACGCACTTACAGACCTTGCAGAATGACGCCTCACCATTGTAGTAGCCGCCGAAGGGTGGGTACGCGAGACAAATTGTCATCTTTCTCAGCCATCACATCTGAAGCGAGCATAGGCAAAAGTGTCAGCTAAACCTTTTCCCAATGTGTATAATATGTATCCACTTCGCTGTTGGTTAAATTAGGGAATTTAACAACGGCGAAGTGGATTGAGTGGATCAAGTGGATTAAATATGGCGCGTGTTTAATGAGATCTGAAAAAAGAAGCGAAATGCTCTTCTGGCTTTCACAGTGAGGAATATCATCCAAATAGTTCATGGAGCATTTTCCCGCTTCACTGTGGATACGATGGAAATAAAGCTTTGCTTCAGGGAACTGTGATGTTTGCCTTACGGATTGAAAAAAAATTACAAGCTTCTTACAAAGGAAATTTTTTGTGGATATGTAAAGGATATTGATATAGTTAGCAAATCACAAACTTGTATAAAGATGTTTCTATGCACATCATCTACAGGATCAGGAAAATTATCCTCTGAGTGAGTGTACTTGAAGAGCAATCAAAGTTTTTGATACCACGGAGCGTTCTTTTTATTCTCTTATTTTTTCAATGTAAGAACATCATATGGAAAGTCCGCAGACATGCCATGCCTTTTTGACTGGCTCAAATTTGTGCTACACCCTCAGCAGCACTCAATCGATATATTGATTTTCTGAGACACACTGCCGCATCCAAGCTCTATTTATGGTGCAACAAATACTCGCTCAAGTTTTATATGCGCTGAAATTATACGCTGAAATACGCTGTTATACGCTGAAATTTTCTTTTTTGAAAACGAAAGTTTTGGACCTCGCGGGTTACCCCTTGCTGCTCTCTTCCTCTGATTTCGCACAGTCCATAGAATCATTCTTTTGTACGATTTATTCCATAAGCAGCACTTAAAGATAATATTCGATACGATAAAAATCACACAATAATGATCTCAAAATGAAGAAAAACCCGCATGTTATTGAGCCAGAGAAAACACGAACAATAAATTGTCAAAATTCAGATATCCCTCTTTCTCTTGGCCGTCGATTGATGGTATATACTAAATTGACTTTGGCGCTTTCTGCAGAGCGTGGATATGGAAAGACGAAGGCGAGTAGTCGGAAGTACCTGCAAAAGAAGCCATACTCTCACTTCTCAAAAATTTATTTAAATTTAAATATTTTTTTGTTTGATTAAACATATTCAATTCTGTTTGGCGTATTTCCCGTTCTTATGCGAGTTCTTACAATTGTTATGGCGGATGTTTATGACTGATTACTTTTGATAATTGTTCGTCAGAAACGGAACCGAGCGTCAGATTTATTTTTGCAAATGTTTCCGATTGTTTGCATACACAAACTATGATTTGTACTGGAGGTTTTGCAACACTGAATTATTGCTAAGCTAGCACGAAAAAAATATTTAGGTAATTATCATCTACTTTGTCACCGATTTCACAAAAATGATCCAAATTTTGCGTGGGTATGAAACAAATACCAAGAGAACTTCACTTTTTCGGGAAGACGAAGGAAATGGGGAAGGAGATATTTGGTATAATAATAAAATCAATTAGCTGTAGCAAGGTCATTCCGGAAGAAGGGTTGATTGTTATTTCTTTTTCAGATTTAGAATCTTTATAGTTCAAAAAATTTTCTCAAAATCATACTCAGGATAAGCTTTTTGAAATTGTTGGAATAGTCTTATTTTATTTTACTTGAGAATGTTATTGTGTATAATGGAAAAATACCAAATTATTATGATTACCACGTGGCGGTTATTGAGATTGAGCAAATAGTGATTTTT